TGTACTTGTAAATTCTACGGCCAGGATTCCTAGGAGCTTTATTTTATTCTAATGAGTGAACAAAACTAAACTCCTAGGGAAATAAACGTGTGTGATGGCAGAACGAATTCAAAGAAGCAGCACCTTCACAAGTGACCGGGAAACAGGAGCCCATCCCAGGCCCTCTGACTCCCGGGGGCGAGGCGGCCAAACGCAGCAGAGGGAAGGTTGGGGGAGCGCCACAGCTCTGTGGGCACACAGCCCTGAGATTTACAGGCCAGGGTATGGTGATGTTTATGGAGTGTGATTAATACCTTCTGCGATTGTTGAAGGATAAACTAAAAACTCAAGCTCCCCAGGGGAACCTATTCTGTCACCTCACCAGTTACGTGACACTCAGGAGACGAGCCTGAGACACACGCTGGTAGGTATTGACTACGGGGTTTGGAAAGTTGATTAAATTTCGAAAGTCTTCGACATACAACAAAGAGTGGGCAGGGTCAACATGCTCCGACTTACGTGGGATTTCGACCAGTAGATAAACACCTCAGCGACCATGCGGAAAAGGTCCTCTGCTTCTGCGTTAGGCTCCTTGAGCCACTTTGCCCTGGATCACGCAACACATAAAGCAGCTTCTCAGTCACTTGTTAAAGTCATGAAAGAAAAGAGGAAAATCACCCTCTCAAGTTAAATTGGAAACCAAGGAAACCAGAGGCAGGCACGCTCGCCCACAGAGCTCATAAATGGCTTTAGCGCACAGTTGGAACATGTGAAATAATTTCAACGTTGTCACCATCAAACTGCTAACTTCCACGTGCGTAAGGCAGGCTGTGAAATTAACTTACCTACCCACCTCTGGTTAAGTCATAATCACGCGCAAGCTCATCGCTAAGCAGTAGTGAATGAGGCAGTTCAACTGGGACACGAGAACCCAGTGAGGTTGCGACCGGATTAGAGAAGTGAAACGACTTTCGGACACTCTACCTGTTGTAGTCCACAAATCGAATCAGGAGCGGGTAGAAGGCGTAGAGGTCCCTGGCCAGCGTGGTGAACTCGTCCAGGATGAGCAGCTCCGCCTCGGACATGTCCCCCCTGGCCTCGGACTTCAGGTGGTCCTCCTCCGATACCACCATCGCCGCCTTTTTCTTGAGTTTCTCCATTAATGGCAGGAAATGAGTTTTCAACAGCTGAGGTTTCACTTTGTTTATAATGGGCTGGGAAAACACTGTTTGAAGACAGACATTACTGTTCGGCTCTGCATGAACAGTCATTAAAGTGAGGCTCAGACGGTCACCACAGTTGCAGCATGATTTCAGCCTCCCTCCCCTGCAGCCCACGGCTTCCGTTAGCACCCAGCTCGCGCCTCGGTCGTCTTCCTGGCCCCAGACCTGATTACACAGCTGCTGTTCAAAACAGTTACTGAACGGAATTTGCTGTGCTTCCTTGTGTTTTAAAAAAGAAACTGGCAGCTAATTCAGAATTTAAGAAAAGACTTTCACTCACTTTGGAAATCAATTATTTTCACACAAAGAAGCAAAGTCCCCAAATGGAAAAGGTCCCTCTGGCCCTCTTCCTAAAGCACAGGAGACTGCATTTCTGCCACTGCTCATCGTCACCTGCCTGGGTGTTCCCGCCCCTGCCCCAGCGGACGAGCCAGGTCACACACAGCGCTGCGCGTGTGTTTCGTGATCACCGCAGTGGTCAGCAAGAGCTCTACACCTGGCTAGGCCTTTTTTAAAAGGAATTTTTTCTCCTAAGAGTAACATACATATAAACATTGGGGAAATGTATAAAAGGGAAATGTTAAAATCAACCATAATCACTCTAACCACATTAGTAAGACACTGGTGTATTTTTTCAGGGGAAATTTTATCAATGAAAAAATTCATATGTATATTTCTGAACTTAAAGTTTAAACTCTTAGTTTAATCCTCCATGATATTCTGAACAGTTTCCAAGTCATAAAACATTGTTGAAACCTTAATGTTTGAAGGTGGCACAGCACTCTGGTGCACGGGTGCACACAATCAACGCGACCATCCTCCAGTGGCCGGGCGTTCAAGCTGCTTCCAGTCACTCAGTACAGAGAGAGCAACGATCGATAAATGTGAGTATCTTCTGATTATCCTCCCCAAATCCCGGTAAGGCAGATTACTGAAAGTGGGGTGTGTCAAAGCTCAGTGTTATTTTTGTCTTTGTCTACAGAATCACTACTTTTTACTGCTGTGTTCACGGATTCTTCTTGGAGACACTGTCAAATCAAGAAAATGTTTACTCACTTGAGAGCAGTAACCCTGTGGAAAGTTACCCAGTGTCTGATCAAACCTGCGTCTTCTAAAGAACAGCATGACAGAAGTAACCAGGAATACTGTTTGAGTGTGGAAGCAAGTATTAAAAAAGACTAAAACGGGGGCAGCGCTAGTGCCCCGTATCCCGAATCCCCCGGGAAGCGGCACTCCGGCGCAGCCTCACCTGCCAGCCTCTTCATCCAGGCGCCCTCGTCCACCCCCAGGTTGTTGTATATGATCTTCAGGATGTTGCCCAGCAACGTGTTCATGTGCTCTGAGCTCAGCGCCGTGCAGCACGTGTCTGCCCTCCCCGGGTGATTCTCAGGGCCGTGCTCCCACCAGCGGGACATGTAGCTGCAGAGCATGGGCAGGATGACCTCCATCACATGTGGCATCTGAGTGTAGCGGATCCCGGACTCAGCCAGCTCCACGATTTCTTCCATGAGCTTCTCCAGAGACGGTATATTTGGACAAACGTCTTCCACGTTAGCTGGCAAACTGAGAGCTAGGGAGGCACATATAAACACGAACAGTGTGCAGTGAGAGCAGACGGGGCGGTCACACGGCCACTGCGGACAGCAGCCCCCAGCTACAACGCTTCACATGGGCACCCAAGCCCTGCCAGACCTGACGTGCCTGCAGCTGGATCCCTCTCCCTCTTCTCCCAGCAGCGATTCCAAACTCCTTTTCCCCAAGTCCTCACCCGACCCCCTGAGGACCAGCCGACAGCCGTCCCTTCCACTTCAGAGCTCACAGGGGTAGCCAAAGTCTCCTCCTCCAACTGCCCCTCGTGCCAACAAGCCTCCCGCATCTGGTCCACAGCCAAGCTCACTCCCCCTTCCGGAGGAAGGGGTCCTGAGGTCCCTGTTCATGGTCCCACCTGTGCTCCCGACACCGAACCAACCCTGCAGCATGGCCTCACTCAGGCCTGGATTTTCAGCCCCTTCCTGCCCCGCTTCAGAAGCGCAAGTCTCTCTTAGACTGTTGACCTTTCCAAGTGCTCTCCCAGCCACAGAAATGACAGCCTCCGCCTTCCACCACTCAGCAAGTTTAGTCTTCCACAGTCCTATCTCACTAAGGGTTACAGTGGAACCTCACATCACTCACCTGATTCCCTTTTCTTAAAAAGCCTCTTTTCCTTCACCTCAACGCATGGTCTTTCTTGACTGTCTTCTGAATTTAGCCTCTCTCCTTGGCCAACTCTTGTCCTCTGGCTGAACTTGTAAATGTGGGTTTTCTTGGGGACTTACCCTTACCTCACCTCTCTTTTTCAGCTTCGGTGTTTGCCTAGGCC